TTTTTTCAGGACAAATTTTGTAATCCTTTCAAAACTGAGGAGGGGGTGGGGGCGTAACCTTTGAATTGAGGGGGGGGGGGGAGCGTAACGTTGTAGCGTTTTCATCTATGACATAAATATACCGAGTGTGTGGCTTTCAGATTATCATCAAACGTATCTAAAATGCAAGGAATGGCGTTTCACAGACCGTAAAATTAAAACAAATTTCCGACCCCCTCACTCGTTTGTGGCTGGCTATGTCCCTGCTGGTAACTGTCTGTTAATGCAGGCGATGGAGAAGTTAATTTAAGTTTAATTAAATTGGTGTTGATAATTGTTTCTAGGAGGAAGACCCCCTATTGCTCGTTAGTCACGTCTACATTCATTTATCTATGCGGTATTTGCACCGATTGCCTGTTTATTTATTTGACTATTTATATCGACAATTATTGTGTTTATTGCATCCACTGCCACCTCCGCAGGCCTTGGTTGACACACGCTCGGAATATGACGTATGAGGAATTCGTACCTCGTAGTAATAGAGACCTTACGATTTTAGGACGACAAAGCGACGACGACGGCCAAAACAAACTCCTTCGAATAAATGGTAGTAAAGATAGTTCGTCGTATATTATCAATCGTATGAATTTAATACCGTTTTAGAAGTTGAAGACATGGGTTTTATGGTTGGGAAGAGTTCTGCTAAACCCAGTTTGAAGTTGCACTTGTTGCGGCTTGGAATGCAGCCGTTGTATCAAGACGTGAAAATCTGTGATTTGGCGTTATAAACAGAGGGAGGACAATGTCTAAATTATTCATATATTGTAAATACTCAAGTCTTTTCAATGATATATTGTATTGGTAGCCGTCCTAAAATCGTAAGGTCTCTACTGTCGTGTATCTCTTTGAAAATGCAATAACTACTGATCTCATAGTAGTAATAATAACCTGCTAGGGTTTGGGCCAGAAGTACACGTACCAAAAAAAACACAAAACTCTCTTGGAAGTCTTTTTGATCTTGTTCATGTAGTTCACACACAAACCACGGCAGTTTGTTGAAGAATAAATATAGTACTAAAATATAGTATCCGCAATGAACCCCACATTTGAGTTATTCTTCAAGTATTTCAGACACGAATACCACTTGTAATTCATTTACTTATATGGTAATGAATTCTAACGAATGTAGCACTCCGAGAAATTTGGTTAATTGCAAATTTAGCAATTAGAACTCGTTCTCATAAGTGTTTCGAAAATGAAAACCATGTGAACAATCGATCTAAGATTTACCATGGATTGTAAAATAATTGGATAGGAAACTTCCTGACGTCACAGTCTAAACCTAGTTGCAATCTGTGACGTCACGCGTATTGCGAATATTACCAAAGTTCTCGGCATTTTTGTTTTATTTTATTATCCATGGATTTACTAAAACAACGTTCTGTGCTAGTGTGGGTAGTGTCAATAATAACGGCGCGAAACGTTGAAGTTCTCCTTATATTTTTCAAGTAGTTGCAATCCTATCAATTCGAAGTTTTCTCATTTACTAAAACAACCTTTTCGTTTGAAGATCATTTTTTTACTCTTTTAGAGAAGTAAATTGTAGTGTAAAGGGCATTAGGTCACGAGAGAGTGTAAACTCTCAAGGGTGATTTACACTACACAACTTTTGCCTAAAACTGTCGTATGCAGCCTGCTTAAAACTTGAGTTGTACTGTGTAAATCAAGCACACAACTCACCTAGGTTGTCGTATGCGAGTTGTGTGTTTGATTTACACAGTACAACTCAAGTTGTAAGCAGGTTGCATGCGACAATTTTAGGCAAAAGTTACATTCCACTGGTTTGGTTGTCATTGCTGACGCGACCGTGTCAAGGTCATAGAGATTATAAATAACACTAGAGGAGGCATCGAGTTTAAAAATTGGGAACGCAGCTAATGGGGGGCAAATTCAAGTCCCGGATATAGAATCGTGCTCTCATTGGCTGATTTGAAACTCGTCACCAATGGGAACACGAATTCACATCCGGGACTTGAATTTGCCCCCCAATAGTCGCGTTCCCTTTTTTTTACTGAATTAAGATTACAATGCCTCCTCTAGTGTTATTTATAATCTCTATGGTCAAGGTGACGAATGCTTTTATACATACTGGTGTCTGTCGCCCGTATTCTAAAAGCTCACTCACACTCAATGAGTGGCGGTTCAATCTGAGCTTCTCTTGAGTGTCAATGCTGTTTTTGAATAGCTGGAGGGTTAGTGTCGTACCTTACTATGTGACTACTCACCCTCCGGCTATTCACAAACAGCATTGACACTCAAGGGAAGCTCAGATTGAACCTCCACTCATTGAGTGTGAGTGAGCTTTTAGAATACGGGCGTATATATCATGATTCCCATCTACAAATCCCCGTTCAACTATTAGTGTGAATATATCTCTGCAATCCTCAGTACGTAAATACTGATTTACATACAGCACACAAAAGACGAGATATAGATTCAGAGTATTTACCCCAATCACTGTCACGACAGCTGCTCTAGTTGGAAGATAGCCTGCATGTGTAGAGCCAAAAAAAACAGGCTAGTGAGAGTCTACGTTCACCCCTCTCTAATTTGATTCATTTCATTGTCCGAGAGATTCCTTTTATTGAGAGTGCTCCATTGAGAAAGCCGCCAGTTAATCACCAAATTTATTAACTAAACACTCCCAATTATTTATGGCATGTTTACACATTCAGAATGCTTCGGAAGGATGCAACGCCCTGCAAACAACAAGGAGAACTTTGTAACTTAATTCTTGATAAAGGACCTCGAAACGTTCTCCTTGTACTCTATCAATTCGAAGATTCTTATTACATGGGCACTGCCTAGATAGATCATTCAAGATTATTTACATATTAGGATTAGTCGGGTCAATGTAAGGTTTGCTATTTGTTAAATACGAATGATTGATTGTCAGTTTGTAATAACTAGTTTATGTCTTCTAAAACGTCGTTCACTCTACGTATTTTGATATCAATGACGCCAATCGAAAATATCGCATGCGGCATTCCATGTGTGGGCTGTGAAATTATATTTCAGATTGTGTTTGTAAGATGCAAGGACCTAAAAATACAGAAAATACTTCGAGCGAAGCCCTAACTTAGGTTTAACGTGGAAACGTTGTTTTTCTTCTTCTATTTTTCAATTATAGTTCTATCTTTCAACAAACGTCTTCAAAATGGAGCAATGTGTAAACGAAGCCTAAATTGGCTAAAACTTTGTAGTTTTTGACATACCAGTGGGTTTAGACGCCTAATTTATTAAACAAATATTATTAATTTGAAATTCAAATATTTTGTACTTATTTACTTACTCGCGTCAGCTTCTTTGCCTGTCAATTTTTCATACAGAGCTGGGTTTTCCAATTGTAGACTCTCTAACAAATACTGGTACGCTTGAGGGCCTTTTCTGCCTAAGACATCCACAAATTTTCCAATCTTTAGTGATGTAGTTCTCTCGCTTTGTATCAATTCACAATCCTCAGAATCGAGTACGCCATTGTGGCGAAGATAATCGAAGACAAACGATCTGTCGATTTGGAGATGTTGGATGATTGAGAAGCGTTTCGCTTCCAATAACTCGCGGTAATCTTCGTTCGCCATGCTAGAATCCATTTCAGCTGGCAACTGACGCCGTGCTCTGGTAATATTGCTCTTTTAAGCAAGACCTTAAAAGAGGAGTAATGTATACTCTAAGCTGAGTTAAGCTGGGTGAAGGTCGGACGAAGGACACTTTACACTACACAACATTTGCCTAAAACTGTCGCATGCAACCTGCTTACAACTTGAGTTGTACTGTGTAAATCAAGCACACAATTCACCTACAACAACGTAAGCAAGTTGTGGGCGTGATTTATACAGTACAACTCAAGTTGTAAGAAGGTTGCATGCGACAGGTATAGGCAGGTGTTGTGTAGTGTATACAAATCGGCCTTATATGCACTTAAAATCGGATAATTTCAGTTATGCTTTATACAGACCAAATAGTTAAATATATTACGAGTGGTCGACAATACGTATCGCCAATCGTTGCAGTTCGAGTATAGGATTTCTTTGATGCAATTCAATACAATGCTCAGTAACTTTACCCTTCAATTATAATGCTTCCTCAATATGCAAATATTTTTCTACACGAATACTTACTGTCGTTTGATGTATGTTTTCGTCGGTAATTCAATACAATACAATCGACCTTTTCATTGGGAAGACAGCTGAAAAAGGGTTAATTCTTAGAGTTAGGCAGTGTTATGTTCAGATGTCTTTACAATGATCCCCCGATACTATACAGAGCTAGTCAGCTATACAATAGACTTACAATTTGAAGAGCAGCAGTATAGCACTCCTTTCGTTAACAAGTGATAAGTTTGGTGACCTTTAAAGCCTAGTATAGAGTCAATACTTGCCAGTGTAATCCAATACAATATACTGAATTTATGAATTAGAGAACGAAGGGTGGTCACTCGTCGATTCATTAATTCTTCACTTAGGCAATGTGTGGATTAGCAATGAAATTATGATTTAGAGAACGTGCGTAGGCAATAAATTGCGTGCACGACAGTTTACCTTGCCAGTTTCTGTGTTTACCTTGCCAGTTTCTGTGTTTACTAGAGTTCACAGTGTAAACCTATACAATCAACTCCAATGGTTTGGACAAGTATAAGGCCAGTCTCCAAAACAGTTCAACCCGTGAGTTCCACACGATCATATATCATCTCAGCTATATCACTACCAGCGTGAATATGTGATGTGTAGAGCGTGGGTAGCCGGTTGAGAAATTGCTGTACAAAGTGGCATTAAAACGTATCTCTTTGAGATTATCGGAAGTTGAATCATGATATTGTCGTCATCTTTTATGCAAAGCTACTCAGGTGTATAAAGGCATGCAGGATGTTCCAATATGCAAAACGAGAGACGTTTGTATGGAAAATATCCAGCAGCATAGAGACACAAGACTATAGATACAAACACTAGCGCATGTTTTTCAGGATTTTGACTGCAAACCATGATGGTATTTTAGTGTCACAGCACAGCAAATCGATAAATTCGAAAATGAAAAACCTCTAGAAGAAAATTAATTTACATTTCACATGATTTCTACATATCTTCGCCACTCTAGAACTATCGCTTTGACCACCAGCTGCTATACAAACGGAAACACAGCTATTGCTTAAAGAGTTTTACGTGTTGTTTAAATTTCCTGTGAAATGCATACAGTACAATATCAATCTAATTCTTTTTTTCAGTTTATTTAAATATACAGCACATACTGTAAAACCTCCGACTATAAGCCCTGGGCTTATATACTTTCGTAAGCGATTTTTGATGGGCTTATACAAAGGGGG